ACCACCCCATTTTCCTTGCTACCTTTGCACTACAACTTCTAAACGTTATGAAACTTTGGCAGCCCTAAAAAATCACCAAAAGGTTGCTCATCGTGGTGCAAGGGAAGTTTGCAATGTCTGTGAGAGGAGGTATCCCAATGCTGCAGATTTGAGGAGTCACAAGGACGATGCTGGACATGGATGAGAAGGCCATTAACTTCTATAATTAAGGAATTTATTTAATATATGAGTACTATGCGGTATTACAATTTTTATATAGATCCTAAATGTTATCCATCTCTAGTTTTAATGTTATTTATCTCTTGTTTTAATTTTATTTACCTGTAGTTTAAATGTTATCCATCTCTAATTTCATTTAACATCTATTACAGTACAATTTCATTTAACATCTATTACAGTACAATTTTAAAGAAATTTTAAAATTAAATTTTCAATTTTCTAATTATTATCATAATTGTTGCAGACTCTTGAATAAAAAATGGAAATATTTATATAATGGACGAAATGTTGGAAAGGTAAAACACCCACATGATATTCGCCCTTCAATAAATTGTCATCTAAAAACCAAAAGAAAAAAATCAACTAGTGTAGAACTATTACGTACTCCTGCTCGATCAAAGCAAATCTCTTGATAGTCCCGGTGTGATCCAAAGCATAGGTGGCAATTCCTTAGTGTCTTCAGGAACATGGTGAGGCTGAATGCTTCCATCAGTTAAGTTGTATATTCCAGTATCAGTAGGAAAATAAGGATCATATTCATTGTTTGTGTAGTATATGCAATTGCGTTGTAATCCAGGAATACCATGAATTGGGAGTAAGAAAGAATTATTATCGCCTAAAAACATGGCATTATCTCCTATATCCCTGATCTCAACTAGCTCCTTTGATTCTTCTAACTTGTGGATTACAAACCTGCTGGTGAATATTGGCACGTCTTCCCATTCCCCATACACACGATCAGGGTAAACTCTGCTATAAACTCCTTGAACTAATAATAACTTTCCCTCAGATGTACCCACCAAATTAAATCTACGAACACGTTGTATTAGTACTGATGGTGCCTCTGGTGCAACCAAACTCACTTGAGGCCTTGAGCATTTCTCAATACTAGCAACATCAATCCTTCCAACACCCAATCCACCATTAATGGCGTAAAAATCTCCTTTGTGATGAATAATATCATAGTAACCCATTCCATTTGGATGGTCATCCATGTACGTCCAAGACCGTACACTTGATTGATAGACTGCCAAATAACGCTGGCCATTGTATATGATTGCTACCATAAAATCATTTGGATATAAATCTGGATCGTTTGTTAAAATTGCTTTCAAAATAAAATGCTCGTGGAGAGTGGTAGATTCCTCTCCTTTTATAATCGGAGGTAGTTTGATGACTTTGTTCGAGAAAGGATTTAGTAGAATTATAGTAAACGTCTCGTCCATGTCAATTAACCATCCATATGAGGAGCCGTAATACCTTTTATTAAAAGGCACTCTTAATCTCATGTTGCTGACTCTGTCTTGAGTGACATTATATATAAGTCGCTCATCCTTATCTTTGATAGGAACCAAGAGCAAAGGGAGTTGACGAGGATGAGATGCATTGATGATGTGTCTTCGCTTTCTATTGTCTTCTGCAACAGAGTGCCACTCCTTGCATGCAGCACCAAAGTAGATATAGTCAATGAGATGCGGTAATTTATCCAGAACTAAATCGAGAATGTTCTTGGGAAGCCATTCCCAATCCACTGAAGAAGATTCCATGTCACCAGTTACTGCTCATGCAAAAAAAAAAAAGGAAAAATGCCATTGGTTAAACTACAATCATACGAAGCAAATTTTTGTTCATCCGAATTAAATATGCTATTCTATATGGACTAACCAATGGGGGCGAGAGATACTTGATTCTTTTTCTTTTTTCTTGAACAGCAGAGAGATACTTGATTCTCAGAGGCATCTGAAGAATCCGAAATCGTCATCTTAGTTGATTGGCTCAAAGAATTTAAGTTTGTTGCGTAGAACAAATTTCAGAGAAAGAAAGAAGCCCCAACTTTCTACGAAAGGCCAGGAATTCAAAGTTTGGTGGAGTTGGTTGTGTAGTGATCTATTAGAAATCTTATAAACAGAATTTGAAGCGTAAAAATATGGTATTTACAGTCACATTAAAATAAGGACTTCACCAAATGTTTTAATACTAATAGGAAAACACAACTACGAAGGTGATCTAATTAGTGCTGAATTGAACTACCGCAACGCTTGAATAGAAGTTTCAACACCCCTGCAAAAACTGGG